TAAACACTACTGTTAAAAAGTTTGAGGTCTGTAAGATATTTCTTTGTTTTTGGAAGAAGTCTTTTCTGCTCACCAAGGCTGTATTTATTGGATTCAAAATATAATAAAATCAGTTACTTATTTTCCCCTTAAAATGATACATTTTCTCAGTTTAAACATTTGATATGTCATCTATGTTGTATTCTGAATAAAATATTGAAATTTGAAACTTCCACATCATTGCATTCTGTTTTTATTCACAATTTGTACAGTGTCCCAACTTTTTTGGAATCGGGTTTGTATATCAACACAAGCAGTTGCAGCAACACAACATTTCTACACCACAACTGAACTGCAAACATTACTAGATTTCTACAAAGACTAAAAGAAATGGTGTAGGATTTACTTTGAAACAATTTTCACTTAAAATTGCTAGTAAATGTCACAACAAATGACAAAGAAACGGCAAGTAACCTTGAATCCAATAATCTTTGTTTTTATATACTACTTTAAAAGAATTGCTAATGCAAAGATTCTTTTGGCCTATTTTACTGTCTGCCAAGAAAAAAAAACGCAAGTCAGATACTCTTGTCTCATTTACGTATTCAGTCCGCAAATAGTCAAAATGAGCAAAGTACACATCTCTAGTACACACTACTGTTAAAAAGTTTGAGGTCTGTAAGATATTTCTTTATGTTTTTGGAAGAAGTCTTTTCTGCTCACCAAGGCTGTATTTATTGGATTCAAAATATAATAAAATCAGTTCCTTATTTTCCCCTTAAAATGATACATTTTCTCAGTTTAAACATTTGATATGTCATCTATGTTGTATTCTGAATAAAATATTGAAATTTGAAACTTCCACATCATTGCATTCTGTTTTTATTCACAATTCGTACAGTGTCCCAACTTTTTTGGAATCGGGTTTGTAGAACGATAAATAGATACAATGTAAAAACAACGGTTCTTCTGTGGTGCTAATTATTATTGTACTACTTATTTTCAAGTAGCATCAACATTTTGGTAAATATTAAAGTCAGGTACATTTTAGAACTTTATCGTTAATTATGAAACATTGGTTTAGTACAGATACGTTTTTGTTCTAATTTTGCATGTTTTTTTTTTAGATATTTTGCTTTTGCAAGGATGTGAACATTAGAAGTTCCTGTAACATTCTGGAATAATCTAGAATATTCTAGTGCTTTTTGGGACATTCCAGAACATTGTGGGACTAGTCATAAAAGACTAAAATCATCCAATGTACACTTTTGAAATTTTGGGTGACTCACTTTTGGTTAAAATGTTAAAATTTTATTTATTCCAGTGATCAAAGCTGAATTTTCAGCATCATCTCTCCAGTCTTCAGTGTCACATGATCCTTCAGAAATCATTCTGATATGCTGCTGCTCAAGAAACATTAACTGTTGAAGACAGTTGTGCTTCAAAATTTTCAAAAAAAACGTGATACATTTTTTTCAGGATTCTTTGATGAATAGAAAGTAAAAAAACAACAACAGTATTTATTTGAAATAAATCTTTTGTAACATTGTAAATGTCTTTATGGTCACTTTTGAACAACTTAATGCATCTTTGCTCAATAAAATAAAAATTTGACCCCAAACATTTTAACGGTAGTGTAGTAGATGCCTCTTCAGATGTGGCTTTTGTGCCATTTTTGCAATGTAAAGACGTCTTCAGAATGAGAGACAGAGATCTAGTCATGTGTTGAGCTCGGCTGAATCCGGGCGATGTGATTGGTGATGAGAGAACATTTGCTGCTGGAAATGAGCAGATTGACCCTCTCAAAATGGAGGCTGATTGGAGAGCAGATGCTTTGCAAGATGAGCTAATTAAGTCGAAGTCGCAGTGTGAAACAAGTGGAAGATTATCGCTCTCCTCAATCGAGTCAAGAGCACAAATCCAATTCCATCTTGGCTCTCTATTTTACTCTCATTTCTCTCCCACTCGCTCTCCCCGTACAGCTGAGGGATGATGTATGACAGGGTTTCACCTTTACTAGGGTTTTGGTCATTTTGTCTGTTTGAGTAGGGAAGACCAGAGGGGAATTATAATAGGAGATAGTTAAACGCATGTTAAATGTCTTGCACATGCTCAGTAGAGACTCTCTGTAAAAAAGAATTACTGAATCAGAGTTGTAAACTAAAACTGAAACTATTCAAAATTATTTTTGGCAATTGAAATAAAGCTGAGATCATACAAAACATAAGACGAAAAAACTTTAAAAAACAGAAATGTTGCCTAAAATAAAATAAAAGTTGAAATATAATGAAGATAAATTTATGAAGATAAATATAAAATATATAAAAACTAAAAACTAATAAAAACCAAAACTTTCTAAAACTTAAACCATATGAAAACCCAAAATTTTCAAATAAAATATAATTCAAAATATTAGTAAGTACAATAATTAATATAATTATACTGATATCTTATAAAGCAGGTTGGCCAATGGCCGATATAT